ACCATGCTCATTATGTTGAGGATGAGTATCACATGTTTGCTCGTATGTAAATTATATGATGAACTGAGAACACAATGTTTTATTCAAACTTGGCTTAACTGTGAACCAAACATTAACTTATTTTATTCAATTATGTGTCATGTGACGATGAATTGGGCATTTTCGCTCTTGCAAACTATATATACAAAGCTTTGGAAACTAGAAATATGTTTATTAAAAATGTTGGAACATCCTAATTTAACTAACTGGAACCGATAATATGAACTAGATGATGTTTAAATGCATAACAAATTTATACAGTGAAACAGTATTTAAAGAACACGAATAAGTTGTTCCTTTGCCGTGCCTTAAAACACATTCTTAAATTCAGCATTGTTAATGTTGATAATAATACTCTTGTTACTCACTTATTCGTAAATAATTACCGCTTATGTATTGATCACGAATAATATTTTATGTATATGAATTATATATTGTTGATGCATCATTTATTTTGTAAATAATGAACTATTATAAAAAAATGTACAATATTATGTGTATCGTGGGCCGGAGGCCTCTAACTACAATAAAACGTATGTTATGTTATGTTATGTTACCTACGAAAGACTGGTAGGGCCATTTGAACTTCATGAATTCCAGATTTCATCTGTATGAATTCACGATTTCAGCTTCGAGAATTCACGACTTCAACTTCGAGAATTAAAGATTTCAACTTCATGAATATACGATTCCAAGTTCGCGAATTCGCGATTTCAACTACATGAATTCACGATTTCAACTTCACGAATTCAACTTCGTGAATTCACGATTTCAACTTTGTGAATTCACGATTTCAACTTCATGAATTTTCGATTTCAACTTCATGAATTCATGATTTAAACTTCACGAATTCAACTTCGTGAATTCACGATTTTAACTTCGCGAATGCACGATTTCAACTTCATGAATTCACGATTTCAACTTCATGAAGTTGAAATCGTGAATTTGTGAAGTTGTAATCGTGAATTCATGAAGTTGATATCGTGAATTCGTGAAGTTAAAATCATGAAGTTGAAATCGTGAATTCGTGAAGTTGAAATCGAGCATTCATGAAGCTGTAATTGGGAATTCATGAAGTTGGAATGTCCCCACAGGTCTTTCGTATTTACCTGAGTCATCTATTGCTTCTGCTGCATTTTGGCAATTGGTACACTTATAGTTATTTGGAGGTACCACTTTACTGTTTGTTAACTTTATCTCATTTTATTTAACAGTAAGTGCTATTTACATTAGGTAATAAGAAGGGAAGTACATAGCACCGTTAGATACTTAATCTCCCTTTATCATCGCGAGATTTGTACGTGACAAACAAGGCCCACGTTAATTAATGATACAGGTCCTTCTACTGTAAATATTTTTGATTGGATTAGTGAATTTGTAATACTTTTAAGTTGACAAATGATTCCACATTTGCGGATACCCACGGCCGAACCATTAATGTACATGTAAATCCAACGATTTCCATACACACCAACTTACCTGAGTGATCAAATAACTTCTTACTAAAGGACATGTTTCATGTTCATATTGAAATTGTGATAAAACGATATTTATGGTGACCCATGTAATCAAAAGATGATTTTATTATGTATAAATTACGTCATAACTTTGCCGTTGAAATTTAGCAGTAAGCACATTTTAATCGTATTGAAAATAAACTTAACATTAGATTTTAGATATGTATTAAGTCTATTTATTATAATCAGTAAATGATCAGTATACATAAATATCTGATGATACAATAATTGAAAAGCATGAAGATGGAATGTTGATAAATTATTGTTAGATATTTCCTACAGCTATCTAGATAAAATACTTAGATGATACATGGTTAAATTAGCTAGGGTAGGTCACAACTACAACAAAATTATTCAAGGCTTGATACTCCATCGTATTAATAAATCTCGTTTAATTTCTGTTTCTTTTTTTTTAACTTTAATATTTAATCACATTTTTTGTTGCTTTCTATTTACAATGAAATTACAATTACGGATGTCTTTATATCGCACACGTGTAAAATAACCTCACTGTTGTAAATGGCACATTATGCCCCGGAAAGAAATACATTTTTAAATTCTTTAGAAAGGACAAACATGAAATCTATAATGTTTAAATTATGTTTTTAGAGAATGTTAATGCTTGATTGCTGAACAAGCAGCGAAACAATTTGTCATAAAAGTAGCAAAATTCCAACAAAGTAGTACTTTGACTGATAAAAGCATTTCAATCCACATGTTGGTCACAATAAGCGATTTAAATTTGGCATTAAAATGTTAAATAAAAACACTAATCTTTTGTCTCAGAGGTAAAGTTTTCAAACTATTACTATTCAAAAGTAAGTGACAATGTAATATAGTCAAAGCCATTTTTCATTTATTTTTTGAATTTTGAAAAAAAAGAAAAGATTTTTACCAAAGAAATATTTTGATGTAATTTGGAACGAAAGTATTAAGTAGATCTATTTAAATGTAAGAAAGTATTGAAAACAGACATGTATGAAGTCTCACAGGCATAATATTTTAGTAATGTTTTTCAAATAAAGTAAATATAAAGATAAGTACATATAATGGAAGTCGAGTGGCGATCCTGAAAATATATTCCTCATCATTTCTATATACTATATCTCATTTATGTCAACCTTAACCAGAACGCTGTAAAGATCTTGTTAAAAGATATGCAAGTTTATATGATATAATACCTTAAGTGGAATTGTCTATTTTATTTTGACCGTCTATGCAGATTGAGCATGCGCGAGAAAATTCTTCACCCTGTTGATTCTGCATAGCATCGGGCTGCGTCGTAAAAAGGTCTATAACTAAATGCAAATACAATAAATACAGAATCGTTCAGTATATGAAAAGAAAGACATTTTGGTAACTAGGTTTGTTTTGTTTCAACTTTCGGAAGTATCTTAATGCGCAAAAATAAATTATTATAAGTTATCCTCGTTCAAAATCTTCTCTTCCTTCAAAATATGGTTATTAACTAAATGGATCCATAAAAATGAATACATTTTGTACTTACATTAAATCATTGTTTATGTTACATATCTATCATTAAAATGCTTTAAACAATGATTTAAACAAAACGCCAGTAAAAGTATCAACCTTTTTTAATCTGATTATATATTTTTATATGGATTTTTAATTAGAACTACATGATTGTCCATATTGAGACAGAGTTTTAAAAACGGAGCCAAAATGTCGTCAGTAAATGCAGCGAGCGTTCATTTCACCAAAGATTGCATGATTTTACTTTTTTATGTATATATCATGTATTTTGAAAAAGAAAATGAATGAAGGAATTAATTTACTAAATGAAATATAACAGACAACAATGGATCATTATTTCCACACATAATATCTTCCTTTCAATTAGCAGACGACAATACAGAATTAATGCTACACCGGATGTTCGCGTGTTTGATTTCATATCCAACAAAGTGATTGCTTATTAATGATACCAATTCATAACAGTTTTTTGAGGCTTATTGTATTTTACATGTACAAGTACAGTGGTTATTTCTTTATCAAACAATGATGTGTCACGGTTGCAAAAGTAATGGACATATAGTAAAGAACGTATTACGACAGTACTGAACTAAACTTGGTTTATGCTGATACTAACGATGCATCGACGTTTTGTTCAGTTAATGTAAACAAATTGTCTTTTCTAACAGCTTGATTATGGAAATTACTTAATTTAGAAGGACATCAATTCATTAAACATATTAAGATAAGCAAATTAAACATGACCACACAATTATAGCAGCTTAGTATCATCTACAGTTTCATATTACAGAATGAGCAGTCTAGCAAGGGTTAAGTTTAGTAACAGTTTGTCAAACCTAAAAGTGCCCAGTTACCGTACAAGTATCTGGATTGCGGAAGCCGAAGAGAATATGAACAATGGTAGGATATAAACCTACAATCTCTGTATATATCGAGTATGATGTTTCACCTTTCTTAAATGAGTAACAGAGGCACGAGGTAAAATGGTCATCTTGAACATCGTCTCAATATGGTGGCTGAAAATAATCTCTAATATCTACTTGAAATGCCTGTCAAAGTCTGAAATGATGTATATAAAACATCTTTCTATCTCATCATTCGTTACTTCGAATCTGCTTCTGTTTCGTATGACTAGTCACTTTTATGTTAAATTAGATAAATTGTTCTTTATGAGCAAAATGTTAATTTGTGCTATCCCTTGTCACAAATAATAAGTCGGACACATAATGGGAATAAAGAAAAATTAATACAGAAACAAAACTAATTCGTCCATCTAAGAAGCTGTTTGTATTTCTGAAGTAAAATAAGGAACGGCAGATGTTGTGTGCTTGTTATTGAGTGAATTACTGTTTCATTGAATTGAATGCTTTACAGTGTTGAGAACTAACGAAGCTTTTACAGGATGCATTTTAGAAAACTTTCACATTCTGAACTCCTACAGATTTGAATAAAACATGTGTTACTTGTGAGAAACAAATAAAACACCCTGGATAAATAGCTTTATCGATTATCTACATGTAATTGTTCACAGAAAACCTGCAAACTATTTTTAAAACTCAACATTCGAACCAATATTTGAATAAGGTTTTGTTTCCCTTCACAGTCCATAAACCGCTCAAAGTAAAGGTTTGAAGAACAATTATCTGATTTATTATTATAGTTAAGATTGTTCATAACAGTTTTATTATATTTAAGAACATAAACGCCATAAAGGTACCTATCATATCGAGAATGTGTTGTAAAATTAAGTGATTTATTTGAATAGGACAGTTATCATATTTCTAGTTTCCTCACAAACAATAAATATCTGGAGCAGGTTGGTAAACGTAAACTAGGCAACTAATTTTATTGGCCTAAGTTATTATATGGGGCGAGTCAATATCATTGATATTGTCGATTAAATGAACTTGTTTAACAATTTCTCTGTCAACAGATTGAATCGGATGTGAAGCAAAACCATTCATTTGCTGAAAACGTGTGTTTAACTTAAAAGTAAACCATTTTCTGTGTTAATGACATTTGGTCAATTATTGAGAGCTTGAAGTACACAAAATGCCATCAAAATTAGTGCTTTTATATCATCAAGGAAAATAAATCGGAAATTTATTTGCTCATAAAGTAAGTTTGAATATTTTTTTCTCTTTTTTTTACGGAATGTATATTACATATAAAGGGATTATTGATACAGTAACACATAAATAAATTGTCTACATGTTTATTATATATACTTGCAAATAGGGTAACTCATATCTTGATTGTCTGAACCATTAGCTAGCTTGAAACCATCAGACTGCCTTGCGGTAGGCCTTAATTTCCAAACTCGCTCAATTTTCCAGTCGTAGAAAACACTACGTCTGACACGTCTAATACATGTATAATGCTTACGTCAACGCAATAGAGCAATGAATAAAAGCAGACCAGATGTGCAAAACGTTGTTTTTTTTAAGTCAAAACATTGTTTTAAGAAATTCATAACAGTACTGAAATAAATCTTTTGATAAAAAGGATTTAATAAATGAAAAAAGGACATACTCGTTATGCTTATGAAAAGGAAGTGTTTAGAGAGTCTAAAATGGTACAAGGATAGGCATTAATATTTTAGTTAAAACATATAAGAACGTCTTTGATTGAAGATTTAAATCTTAAAAATTCTATTTTCAGCTAAGATAGTTAAAGTTTATAAGATATGATACAGAAATGTGTATCTGTTCTACAGCTTCGGGTTCGAACGTATTGGAGAACAATGTGTGTTTTAGTGATATTAACTCTGACCGTGTTTATAGGTAAGTCTACCTTACGTTACCCGTCATTTGAATCACTCTATTGTTTACAAACATTTATCTGCAATATCTATATTTGCTAAACTGCCAACGGCCCCGCATATGAGCGAGGAGTGTAAGTCAAAAGCAATAATTATTTCTTCATAATAAATTGGGATAGGTGATTAACCAAAGGCCACTGACTTTTTATAATCACCATGTACCATAATACCAAGTGTCAGCTTTAATCGACCAATACAGAAATAAAAGTAGGACAATAAACGGATATGTACATTTTGTCGAGATGGTATTGCAACTGAATTGCAAGTAATAATTGAATGTTCTATATAAGACACAATAAGGAAACCATTGTTATAATTTTCTCATTCATTTTTTATCTTTGAATTGTATACTCGTATAATAGCAAAACATTAAAAGTTTATGTGCCTATTTGGCCACCAGGACAGTCATATGACAAGATAACTAGCAAAAACCTGCTGTGATATTCTTCAATATAGAAATAACATGTTACATATTAATTTAAGATTTACTATGCTCATCTTTATGTGAAATTCTTTTATTGCAAAAATTCATTGAAACATAGGAAAATCTTGCTGAATTGTTTTTTTTTATATGAAAAATAATGCATAAACAATATTAGGGAGGCTACATTACGTATTGTTGGTCAAGTTAATGTGGTGCCTTTTTCAATTATCAAATTTGATCACAATATATCTTAAAGCAGCACGCATCCAGATTCATGAAAATGTACACATGTATCTAATTTTACAATAGGACAAGACGTTTCTCATGAGAACGATTTTCTTGTCTCTTATAATTCTACATAGATTGGCAGTTTTATGATATTGTTCATATATAGTATGGGTGAACATAAATGCAACATTAAATAACAAAGTAAAGAAAGGAAAGTAACACATACTATAAATTGCTGATTGCAGTCACATACATAGAACCAAGTTGCTTCACATCGCCATAGAAAAGATTTTCAGACAAAATGATATAATATTGCATAAGGTGCCCTATATTGTTTTGATGTTTTCGGACCGAAAAGGAATTTTGTTTACGACAATAAATATAGTTTCGGTCACAAAGATGTCTTACAGGTCTTACGACTTAGTATCTTATTAACCGAGTATATAAACGAGGGTTATATTGTAAAATATCGTTTATACACGCCATATAACATACCAGATATCTCTTTATCTTATTTATAGTCATCAGTTGGATTGTTAGAACATGATATACAATATCCTGTGAGGTAGCCAGTTGGATTTCTAGTACTGTATGTTTGAGAAAAAATTTCGAGACTTATAACATATCTTAACATTGTCTTTGTAAACAAATGTATTTAATTTTACCTGATTAAGTATCATATTGTATTTCGTGTTATCACGATCACGTGACATGATAATTGTTTATTTGCATGGCGATGTACTATATACAAGTCTAAAATAAAATGTCTGTTCTGTTCTATAATCCAGGAGAATAACTTTACTCGAAGATAAACAAAAATTATAACCTCAAAAGCGACTTTATAAACATGCGGTGTAACACCATACTTCGGGGTCCAACGCATTACGCGTCACGTACTTTGGGGGTACTACCCTAAAGTCCGTTACGCATTAACCGTACTTTGGGGTCTAAAAATTCATTCATAAAAATGAATTTTAATGATATTTTTACGTAATATCATGTAAAAATAAGTTATGAAGTAGGTAAAATGTATTAGGTCGGATACATGTAACAATAGCAGACGATATTAATTTTATATTGTTTTATCTAAGGATTGCATTTTGCTTTTTATTATATTTTTATATTCATTTATATGTATCATAGAAAAGAGGCTTTAAAGTGAGATATGTACGTAAACATATTTTGTGTGAATAGAGTGTAATAATACATTCGATAACAAATTATTTAAAGTGACATAGTGCTATTTTGTATTGTCAAGTTGAGGTAATTAAAAAGATTGACCATTTTAATGGTGATCGATCAACAGTTGGTTTTGGAAAATGTTTAGGGTAAAATATAAAACTGCCTAAAATATACAAAAGACTACCCTACGATTTTTATAATTTGAACATTTCTGTTATATGCCAATGGATATTTACAGAAATTTCCTTTAGTCACGTGATTTATTTATTGATAATCCGAAGAAAATGATGAAATTGAAAAGAATCGTTTTGCAAAATATAAACTGATTGTTCAGTCACCATTCACCTGGGCTGTTAAGCTTTGCTGGTGCGCCGATAATTGTAGTGGTTGGGTGACATTTTTTTTTCAGTCACATTAAAATCCAGATCCTTATATCGCAGGATCTGGTGAAAATCTGAGTTTTACATATTTCTATATTTTTCATTAAGTAACATTTAATAAAAAGAGCATCGAAACACGAGACTTTCTGATTTGTACGAGGGGGTGTAGGGGTGTATAAATCAGATTGCCAAGTAGTTTGATGTTCTTTCTCTTTTGTATCATAGGCAAAAATAAAAATAATTTCCCTGTCGTCCGGATATGAAACCCCAGAATAAATATACCACTGCATGGGCATCTGATTATGATTTTTAATCATCATCCATTTCCCTGTCAACATAATAAAATTAAACCAGTTAACGGGCATGCTTTATTCTTATACCCGACATACAGTACAGATAATTAAATTATTAAATATATCAAATAACCGCTCAATATGTCTCGTGCTGTACATTTTCGTTTACATTTCATTTCACTCGTGTCATTTCGTTTTTAGTATGAAGATGGCGTCCAATGTGGCCACAATAAAATAAGTATTTGCGACACATAAATGTGCATTTAAGAATACTTTAAATTCACTAATAGCTGCAGTTACTTTCTTAAAATAACATGATTGATATCTGACAAACGTGAAAACCATAAAGATTTCAGAACCACAGATTTTTTCCGAGATGGCAACAAAAATACGTGATTTTAACGGCATTTACTGATGGAGTGATCATGGTCATTCCGTGCAGATGTAAACTGTTTTACAAACAATATTTTGTTTCTAAAATTTAATTAATTTTACAAGCGATATTTTGTTTCTGAAATTTCATTAATTTCGACTTTTATGATTACATCCGTGTTATTTGTGCCGTGTGGCGGCTGTAAAAAGTCTCCCCGTACATTTAATCAATGATGTTATATTTTCGATCCTTGAAGATCGTTCAGCACGACATTATTGTTGTGCTTGTAGTATTTTTAGTTTCAACTTTTCGGCATTTTCTAGTTGGGTGGTTCCAATATTCCTACTTGAATAATGTTGAATCACCCCTAGGATATGTCGCCTGCTTTTTAAATTTGTCTTTTGACGTCTTGTCTGTGATACGCAGGCTTCATAACCTCTGATTCCCTTTCAAAATTCCATTTTATTTAGTTCCGCCCATTGTTTTCTCGTTTAGGGCACACGCTTTTTATTACTTGGGGACCATACGCCGCTTTTCATGGAATGGCACGGAAGTGTCACATTGAAGGTTCCATGATAACCGCCGTATGAACACATCTGCGGATGTTTCTAAATTCAAAATTCTACTATTTCATGTTTAAATGTTGAATTCTGCTTAAGCCGGTGCTAGGGGGCGTGGACGGTAACTTGCACTTTCCAGTACCGTCCATGAACAGGCTCAATCAAACCGAGCCTGCAACATTTTCAATTTTGCCGTGTTGGGCTTTCTTTAGGGATACTGTATTTATCTATTTTTTGTTGTGATTTATGCTTCCGAGGGATCACCCTTTTTCCAGATTTTTGTATTTTACAGTACAACCGAGGTCAAACGCCGTGTGGCAGCCGTAAAAAGTTGCCCCGAAATTCACTTCAGTGTTGTGATATTTTACTGTTCCTTCAAGATCATTGATTCCAAAATTCAAGTGTTGAAAATTGAAAACTGCTCAATCCGGTGCTAGGGGGCGTGAGGGATGTTGCACACTTTCATTATCTCTCATGTGCAGACTCAATCAAACCGAGTATGCAGTTTTCATGTAATTTTGCTGTGATCATAATTTCCGATGCATCGCATCATCTAATTTCCTCAAGCGATGCCATGTGGTCCAAATATTTAGAAATATCGTAAATTGTGAAATAAAATTACAATAAATTAACAGCAGTACCTCTCACGCACCTTTTCTCTGATAAATGTTACTTCTAACTAACTTTTTACAAGTAATTAAAAAAGAAATTGAATTGTTTGAAAATAAGATGTAATGAGATTATATTTAATGCATTTATTACATTGCCATCAATTTTTAATTTGTTGTCCAATATGACACCAAAACTTATCATGTAAATTGTAAATGACTGACAGAACAGAATGCTATTGACAACATTTTTTTTTAGAAATACATGTACATGTACATTTACAATTGAAGAAGTTTGTTATAAATTCACAATTTTGTAATATTTAAAGTGGTAAAATTCATAAAGCATTTACTAGTAAGCAATATCTTTTTAATTACTGCTACATATGAATTTAAATGACACGGAGTACAATTATTTAATTGCACAGTGATCTAAGTATCTAAATATCGATCGCCATCTTGAACACAAACATTTTAAAATATCAAAACCATGAACTAATACGGAATAGCGCATATGCTATGAATAAGCATCAACGACTGAATCTCAGGGAAGTTGGACCCCAGAGTGTGGTGCCATAGGGCAGTAATATCTAATACACACTGCCACTGCCAGAAGTGAATTTTTCTATAATTTACATTTTTTAAAACAAAATATATATACCTGGAAATGAGTGGATGAGTGGTGTTTGAGAGAGTGCTTGAACATATGAGTGGATGAGCACGTGGATATGTGAATTTGTGAGGAAGTGAGTGAGTTGTTTAGTGAATATGTGAATTTGTGAGGAAATGAGTGAGTTGTTGAGTGAATATGTAAATTTGTGAGGAAGTGAGTGAGTTGTTGAGTGAATATGTGAATTTGTGAGGAAGTGAGTGAGTTGTTGAGTGAATATGTGACTTTGTGAGGAAGTGAGTGAGATTTTGATCCAAGTAGCATGTTTATGGTTACCAAAATGTAAATGTATATCAAACATCTAGCCGAATAAATGATAAATGTCCATGCCACCTATATTACATGCAACATAATAATGGGTGGAAGTTTTGATGGAGTCGGCCCGTATGTTCCTTGCCAAGAAGGAATATGTAAATGGTTTATGTTACTTGGTACGAACATTCCCCATGACCAGTAGATGACCAAGATTTCGCCTACATTTCCAAGATTTGATGTCGAGGTCGGTCATGACTACGAGATGATGTTACAAAAACTTATTCATAGGCCATTATATATCCTCATTTTTGTGCAGGGGTAAGCAATTTAATACATTATCAATATTATAACAATTGAGCAGACGTGAAGATCACACAACGTTGCACTAATACCGATAGATCAACAGCTTGTTTAAATATTGATTTATCGTTTGTATATTTTCCCGATCGACAGTTATATAAATGTCCTTATTTTTCCGGATCGACACTGCAAGTGATCGTTTTTCTCGATCGACATTTGGATCATTTGCTTGTTTCTCCTCTCGATCGACATTTGTATTATTTGCTTGTTTTTATCGATCGACATTTGGATTATTTGCTTGTTTTTTCCTGACCGCCACTAATTTGCACGGATCATATATTGTTTTTCCCGAACAAAACTGATATAGAAGGATCATAATTATGCTTTTTATCAACACCTTTTTGTTTACTTTATTTTCTATGAAAGATTGTTTTACCGTAGTATACCAGGACACTCTGACTTCAAAAAATGCACATAAAGAAATATTAACATGTATGCTATAAGGAAGGATTATCGTGACTTGTAAATCTCTGCTCAAGAGAATTTACATATTTTCACTATAAGGGAAACATAATCTATATATATTCCAAATATTATTCTATCTTTGCAGTTTGGACAATATCATACGATGTGTTGACAGTAGCTGGCGTCAAAAAACCGGTCCAAACTGATGCTCGCAATATTGCAAAATCAATGCGCCCAAGTTTGTTAAATATCTTAAATATATCCGACACTGGCAGAACAGGCTATTTGGCAGGTGATTAAGTTGTACTTTTCACGACAGAAGCTTCTCCTTTCAAACGTTTTATTTCCATCTTAGGTTTACATCAAGTAAACAACATAAGCATCGTTTTATAATAATTACAGTGAATAATGGCGACATATTAACAAGTGCTATGTAAATAGAGAATGACAAACATATCCAAATCATACATGTAACATTACAAATAAACATACATATAGCAAATAAATATATGTTTCAAGTAAACAAGCAATCCAGGCATATCAGTGTTACAAATTTTTAGATATAATTTCGATAAAAAATACCAAGTTTATTCAGTAAACTTTTATTTTCACTACTAAACAATTCCTCTAATTTGAAAAAAATGGCTCTTGTTGCTGGGTCGGATGGGGGCTGCGTTCATTGAACGCCACCTTTCCTTGATGATCTTGTTTATCATATTTTAACATAAAAATACCGTTTTAAATATTGTTTCCTTTCCTCAAAAAACTTTTGACATGTGATCAATTAATGAAATTCGTCACCTACATCATCATTACAAAAGGAACATTTTCTTTCAGAAGAAGGTATACCCTGCCATCTTCCTGTTTCCACAGGTAGCCTATGATTTCTAGTAAAAAAAACGCATAATTGATAAGCTTCGTCTAGATGATAAAATCTTGATATCAGCACTTCCACCAAACTCAGTTTTAATACCTTTGTAAATATTCGTGATTGATGTTAATTGTATATCAGAACGCCATTTCTGTTTAAAATTATCTTTTAAATTTCGGCAAATTGACTCAATCAGCCATTTCTCATAAGAAACTCTGGCAGTACCATACTCCTGAAAAACATGAAGAACACAATAAATTTCTAACATTTTCGATCCTCTTTGGTATATATCAATACGAACTGGAAAAATTCCAAGTTCACCATATACCATATATGAAGGTGTTGATTTCTTAAGTTTAAAAATATATTTGTAAAACTTTAAATGAACTTTTTCAATGATATCAACATTTCCAAACCCCCAGATTTCACATCCATAAAGTAAAACTGGCTTTACCAGTTTATCAAAAAGATCAATCTGTAATTCGTATGGTAAATTTAAATGTTTAATTTTTTTCAAAAGTGAAAACAATGCTTTATTTCCTTGGTCTGCTATGTATTTCTTCGTTGAAATAAACGACCCACTTTTAGTAAAATAAATGCCAAGGTACTTGTATTCTTTAATAATTTCTACTTGGTTATTGCCAATATAAAATTTCAAGTTTCGTCTTATGTTACCTTTACTAAATATAAGTACTTTTGTTTTATCAACATTTATTTTTAATTTCCATTGATCACAATATGTTTTGAAAGTATTTAATGCATTTTGTAAATCTTTTTCAGTTTCTGCAAATATTACAGTATCATCTGCATACAAAAGAACAAATATTTTCAAGTACATTTGCAAATTTTCAACCTTCCAATTTCTACAAAATCCATTAACATTTTTATCACATAAATAGTCTTCCAGGTCATTTAAAAATATACTAAATAAAAACGGGGACAAATTTTCGCCCTGTCTAACACCAACATTACAATAAAAAAAGTTAGTAAAACCTTCACTTGTTACTACTTTTGACTTAATATTACTATACAAGTTATAGATAACACTAAAATATTTTCCATTATTTTTTTCTTTTCGTAATTTATACCATAGACCGTTTCTCCAAACAGAGTCAAACGCTTGTTTAAAATCTATAAAACAGCAATAAAGTTTCTTACTATTAGACTGCACTATATCTATTAGGCTTTTGAGTATAAATAAGTTATCACTAGTTGAGTAAGATTTTCTGAAACCTGCCTGAGATGTTTTTATAAGTTTTGCCTTTTCTGCATATATATTTAATCTGTTATTCAAAATGCATGTAAAAAGTTTGCCAAAACAGCTCAAAAGTGAAATAGGCCTGTAATTTTCAGGTAGAGAAGGATTACCTTTATTTTTATAAATTGGTTTTATTACACCAATAGTCCATGATTCTGGAATTAACCCAGTGTCAAAAATAACATTAAACAATTTACAATATAATGAAATCATGGTATTGGATGATGATACTATCTGTACATTTATTATATTGTCAATACCTGGAGCTTTATTATTTTAAGGGTTTTAATAGCTTTACGGATTTCAGCTTCAGTAATTTTCGAGTTAATTTCTTCATTTAAAATATCATTGTTTTCGACAAAGACAGGACAATCATTTCAATTTTCAAGATCATCAGAATTCAATTTTTAGAAAAAATCAAAGAAGTCATCTAGACTTGCATTTGTTTTTGACGCCTTTACTTTAGGGTTAATAACTTTCCAGTACATTTTTGGGTTATTTGTTTTTAATGACTTTAATTTTTCAATTCTTTATTAGTATGTCGTTGCTGAGCGTTATGCATTGCTTTTTTTTATAATTTTTACTTACTGTTTTAAGAAGCTGTCTAAAATGTTCTGTTTTGTATCTATTGTACGCTTTTCTTGTTTTGTGATAAATATTTCTGGCATTTAAACAAAAGGTATCAAACCAAGGGTAGGTATTTTTATTAACATGTTTATATCTTTAGGGTTTCATTGTTCCAAAAGACTTTCCTGAGCTATCATCAAAAAGTTTTCCAATATCTGAAACAATTTCGTTTAAATCATTTACCGATAAATTTTCATTAAAAGCTAAATTGTCTATTCTATTTTCAATTTCTGCAATTTTCAAAATATCTAAGTTTTCTGTAAACACCTCTGATTTTTCAGAGTCCCAAAGCTTTGTAATAGTATCAGTATTTATTTCTTTTACATATTTATTTGTATGATAAGTACTATAAGTTTGTACATCTTTTTTACATTTGAGAGTTAATGACACAGCACAATGAACATCAGAAAATAAATCACAAAATTCATGCACTTCTAATTCATCAATATACTTAAAAACATATGAGGTCGATAAAAAATAATCCACAACACTTGCGTTTCTACATGTAGTTTTAGGATTTGTATAGTCTGGCTCTACTCGACCATTTAAAATAAATAAATTATTTCCTTTACAAAAATCTAACATCTGATATCCATAACCACTTACAACAGTATCAATTGACTTTCTATTTAATGGAACTTGAAATAATTCAAAATTTTGGAAAATAAGTGTTTCATCATTATATAACTCGTCAAATTGGTCTAAATTAGACAAAAAATTATCGACCTTTACAAAATCATCCCTATTGCTACATCTCGCATTATAATCTCCGAACAACAGCACATGTTTATCATCTGAACAATATCGAAACAATTCATTTTGTAACTCAGTAAAAGGATCTTCATTTGAGTACCTTGATCCATGTGGCGGAATATATATAACACCACAGTTAATATCTACTTCGGGTTGTTCAAAACATTTTCCCAAAATCTTAAAAAATAAAATCAAATTGCTAGATCTTACTTCATCGACAACTATATATGGTACATATTCAGTTTTAACAAATAAAGCGAGTCCGCCAGATTTATACCTAGATAATTTCTTTCTATTATGTAAATATACAGAAAACCCTGGTACATTTATATTATCAGTATCATCAAGTTTTGTTTCCTGGAAACCAATAATATCATATTTATTAATAAAATCTAAAAAATCAGGACAACGTAATTTTGTAACTAGCCCACAAACATTAAGGGTTAACACCTTTAAATTACTAGGTAATACAGTTATATTTCGAGATCGTCTATTGTTTGGATAACAAAAGCCATTCCCCGCTTTCTCCTAGCTACTGCCACCGTTAACCCGTGAATCTCGTGCGCTGTCTGATCTTTGTCCGGCTTCACTGTTACTTTTATTATTTCGGGTAATGTCCGCGCTTTCTGTCTCTTGATATGACTCATCGTCTGATGGGATAGAAGCTAAGTCAATTTCAAAATCGTTCTCGCGATATTTTTTAAGTGTCATTTCGTTTTCGAGCGGTGATCTCGCGTTCCGTTTGCCAGTATTTGTGTTGTTTTGCCTGTTTGGTGTTTCTTGTTGTGGAACATTGTTTGTTAGGGGGCCAAATCTGTTCTCAAGCGCTATACACTCTTGAGACCTATGTCTACTGCCATGCATCAATTTGTCATCGTCAATTGTTTTCCGTTGTGACTGTATATTTGTTGTTTTTGTCTGAGTTATTATGTTCTGTTTATGTCTATCTGTTTGTGGTGCGTACTGGCTTTTATATCTGCGCACCTCATGTTGGTTTGTTTTGATAAATTGGTCACGCTGGTCAGGGTACACGCGTTTGCCATTTATATATAGTCTGTCTCGAAACAATTTTACTCTATTACTGTCATTTTGTCGCGCTATTTTCGCTATTTCGAGAAGTGGTTTCCTGGCATTTTCTATTTCCCTAGGAAACTGTTCATTTACCCAGAATTCTGTTCCAATCAGTTTTGCAGGTGCAAGCATTTTGATGTATTCTTTGTCTTTGTAGTTTGAGAATTTAACTATAATAGCTCTAGGATACCTTTGGTCAAACCTGTATCTTCCTAATCGATGTGCTCGGTCAAACTCGATTTCTCGGTCAACATCCATTTCCTTTTTAAGGAAATCACGAATTATCTGTTCACAGTTTTCACCATTCTGACGAAAATCTTTGGCTTCAGCAATTCCACCAAATATCAAGTTTTCATTCATACTGCGCCATTGCAAATCAATTAAACGCTCTTTGGTTTGTTCATGTTCTAAACTCATGTCAGAGATTTTTGTTTCGAGAGATTATATATGTTTTTGCAGACTTTTGACGCCATGATCCATTTTTGAATCAGTTTTCATGACGTCATCACAAATTTCGCTATAATGATGTATTGTGCTGTCATATTCATTAACTTTTTCATGCAGTTTCTTGACATCGTATTTAATACATTCTGTTTGTTGATTATTGTACGAAATATCTGACTTAAGGCTAGTTAACTGGGTTATCTGATTTTCAATTTTGGCCATTCTGTCATTTTGGTTTAAAAACTGTATTTCTATAGTTTGCCACCTTTTATTTTGATTGTCCAGTTGTGCTTGAATCTGTCCAAACTGTTGACACAGGTTTTGTGCCCAGGATGGGACATTGTTACTGTTATCCGTGTTTACCGTATTATATGGACCATTATTATATAACGGATTGTATGCATTTACCGGTACATTTGACGTCATATTTGTTGTACTTTGTAAACCGTTATGTGCTATACTTTGGTGATGATTGTTCCCATAAATATTTTGCGATTGTTGCACAACCTGTTGACCATATAAAATTTCTCTTGACTGGCCTAATATATCTGTAGTAACCTCACCTATATTTTTATTTTGTAACTGTGTATGTTGTTGTGTATGTATGTCCGCCAATGTGTTGCTTTGATTCATATTTATTTTGCTTTTAGAACTCTCTGAAATGTCAATCTGCTTTTGTTTACCTTTATGTTTTGGCATAGTAAAGCATCCGCCATTAATCCATTCTATATACTATAGTCACATTCATCACCTCCAATTTTTAGATAATTTACATTTATTTTACAGAGTTTGCTTATAATAACACTGGAGATAGCTAGGTTATATGTTCAAATTGTTAAATGAAGCTTTTAAGCACTTTTGCGCGAATCTATTCCACTTTTATTCCATATTTTTACAGAGCTCAAAAATATACTATCTTGCCGCCATTTTGATCACGTGACCAAAATAAAGGATAATTGCAGTACGTTATAAGTACTTGAAACTTTTAGTTCATAAAAATGACACGTATTCCTCTTTAAACTTGCAAACTGCAAAATAAGTCTGTACTATCCTTCGTTTCTTTTGAACGGATCAGTCATCAATTAAAAACCCGTGTATTATTGATGAACATCTTGATCTAATTGACTGTATGTGTTAATCATTAATACCGTTACTTAATTAATATGGAATAGAAAAAAATCCTTAATGAATGCCCTAAAAATGTTGCAGACTCGGTTTGATTGAGACTACTCATTTCATGGGCAGTACTGAAAAGTGCAAGCTACCGTCCACCCAACCAAGTCCCACACGAAACTGGCCTAAGCAGAATTCATGGATAAACATGAAATGTTAAAAATTTTCAATTCACTAAAAAGGAAGAAAAAAAGAAAGAAGATAATTTAACTGTAAATAAATAATGATTGGTTATTATTATTATTGGGGATAAAATATTCATATTTATGTCTTTCTTAATATAGAAACCAATTTCACTGGTGTTGTTTTATTGACGTATATGAGAAGTGGATCATCCCTCACAGGAGAGATTCTACAACAAAACGAGCACGTGTTTTACGTGTTTGAACCTCTACGAGTTCTGTCACATCTGGTTAAAACCAACCAACCAGTACTATGGTTTAACGGGACAAGAAGGTTTGTCATCAAATAAACGAAAATGTTTCTTTTTTAAATTACTATAATAGCTAAGTATAAAAAAGGCATTTATGAAAAAGTGATATTTATGAAAAATTGCGGAAGGTTTCATTTTCCCAAGTTCCCAAGGGGCCAAAATTTAAAAAACCCCAATTTTATTTATTAAAAATTCTAAAAACTGTTTTTAAAAGGGCTCCAAATAGGTTTTGAATTTAAAAAATTTTGGAAAAATTTTTTCCCAAAATTTGTTTTAACTGGGTGTAAATCTTTTAAAAAGTTCAAAAATTGTTTCTCACTCCTTTTAAAGGGCTTTCCCTTTTTATTAAAAGTCCCCCCAAAGAAAATGTTTTGCAACGCTTTTTTACCAAAAACAGCCAAAAAAAACGCATTTTGAAAAACGATTATCTATTTTTAAAATTGGGGGTTTGCATATTTCATTGTTTTGTTTTTGATTTTAAGTGCACCAGTTGTTTTTGAATGAATTTAAAATTTGATGAGTTTAGGCTATTGAACCTAAGTGGAGTCTCTTTAAACATTTATAAAATTGTTTCTGTTGGATATAGCGATAATTATGAAAATAAGAAATCAGCATAGCTGTGTAGATACATACCTTTACGAAAATGTGTTGAAGACCGCCAGTCTCTTCAGACAAACATGTTTATTTAGATTTTGAGCTAACGCATGACCATTTCAAATTGTTCATTATTTCAAAATGGAATCCCTTAAAACGCCCAGAAAAAGGCAAAAAAAATGAAAATATTGTAGTCTTGGTTTGATTTTGCCTGTTGATAATCCGTTCAAAATCTCATTTAAATAACAGATATAAATCTCTTGCTCTACTGAAGAAACATAATCAGGTATCTATACTATGAGCTTGAGGTGTTTCTCTAAAAGATATGACAATACAGCTTCCTTATGGATAAGTGATTCGTTGAAAATAAAGAAATGGTTCATTTTTTAAGTGCATTTTAAACCTAAAACCGTACAAATACTTATTTGTTTCAGTCCTGTGACAGCGTTGAACATAACAAGTGTGAAAAAGCAGACTTTAATTGGATGGTTGACCTGTAATTTCTCCTTGGTTCCATCGCAATCGTTTGACGACTGGTATTTTCTCTCTTTCGGAAAGAAAACAGATGTCTATAACAATTGTATTTTTAAACACTTTGGTATAAGATACAATAATCATTATCCGAATTCTTCACAGACAAGTTCAATCTTACATATTCGGTTGTCAGCAATTCGTAGAGGGGAACGTGAAAAGTGTTTGCAGAAACTAAAAAACACGTGTTTATCTTCTAAATTTAGAATAGTTAAAACAATACGGACCTCTATGATTTTAGCAGACGAAATCTTAACAGACGTGTATGGAAGTAAAATAATACATTTAATAAGGGACCCTCGGTCTACTGTTTTGTCACAGGCGCATTATAGTGGTTGTCCAGGCGGGAAAAGATCCGTGGTAGCGTGTTCAAATTTTCACTGTAAAAGAGTGGATGATGATACAGAATTTAAACAGAAGTTACAGACAGAAAAACTGGCACGAGTGTATACCACGCTATACGAGCAAATATCCTTGAATCCAATTTCGTTTGCTAAATCTTTATACAATTTTATTGGAATGGAGTTGTCAGAAGTGATCAGTAACAGTGTTTTAATGATCACCTCAGGTCATAATATAACAGGATGTAAAGTTTGTGAACAGTCTTGGCAATCAAGAAATAAATCTAATCTTATTGCCAAACAAGACAATTACGAGACAATGAACAGTCATTTGTTATCATACGTACAAAGTGTATGTAAAAATACAATAAAATATTACGGATATGAAATCTACAATGTTAGTCATCGAGAATTTGTAAGTTATAATATCGTAAATGTATCAAATGACAAGCCTATACATGTATAACATAACCGGTTTGTTTGTTTTTTATTGAGCACAATCTTGAAGCAGTATTTTAGGTAGCGTGCAAGTAGCCATGCTACGATGTCCAGTCGTTATTATGTAATTTGAATCATCACGAATTAACATGGGACTTGGCGATAATTTACCCCATCCCCATGACCCACTCCTATTTAATTACTTTACCAGCACAAAGAAAACGTGCTTGTTAATTCAGCCAAAATTTTGATATCTATATGAGCATCATGTTATATAACCATTATTCATACATTGATATTTTTTCTTCAAAGCAAGGGAATCAGATACAAGAGTTTCCGGAGACAAATTAACTATAATGATGAAATAAGATTTTTAAACTTGGTCGAATTATTGGGATGATGTGTTATATGACCACCCTTCCACAAAAAAAGAAAATAATACACGACTTAAACTGCTGACAACGACACCTCCGATACTGATGATGTAAAATAGATAAATACAGAATCCCTAAAGAAAGCCCAACACGGCAAAATTGAAAATGTTGCAGGCTCGGTTTGATTGAGCCTGTTCATGGACGGTACTGGAAAGTGCAAATTACCGTCCACGCCCCCTAGCACCGGCTTAAGCAGAATTCAACATTTAAACATGAAATAGTAAAATTTAGAATTTAGAAACATCCGCAGATGTGTTCATACGGCGGTTATCATGGAACCTTCAATGTGACACTTCCGTGCCATTCCATGAAAAGCGGCGTATGGTCCCCAAGTAATAAAAAGCGTGTGCCCTAAACGAGAAAACAATGGGCGGAACTAAATAAAGTAGAATTTTGAAAGGGGATCAGAGGCTATGAAGCCTGCGTATCACAGATAAGAACGTCAAAAGGACAAATTTAAAAAGCAGGCAACATATCCTAAGGGTGATTTAACATTATTCAAGTAGGAATATTGGAACACCCAACTAGAAAATGCCGAAAAGTTGAAACTAAAAATACCACAAGCACAACAATAATGTCGTGCTGAACGATCTTCAAGGATCGAAAATATACATCATTGATTAAATGTACGGGGAGACTTTTTACAGCCGCCACACGGCACAAATAACACGGATGTGATCATAAAATAGATAAATACAGAATCCCTAAAGAAAGCCCAACACGGCAAAATTGAAAATGTTGCAGGCTCGGTTTGATTGAGCCTGTTCATGGACGGTACTGGAAAGTGCAAGTTACCGTCCACGCCCCCTAGCACCGGCTTAAGCAGAATTCAACATTTAAACGTGAAATAGTAAAATTTTGAATTTAGTAACATCCGCAGATGTGTTCATACGGCGGTTATCATGGAACCTTCAATGTGACACTTCCGTGCCATTCCATGAAAAGCGGCGTATGGTCCCCAAGTAATAAAAAGCGTGTGCCCTAAACGAGAAAACAATGGGCGGAACTAAATAAAGTAGAATTTTGAAAGGGGATCAGAGGCTATGAAGCCTGCGTATCACAGATAAGACGTCAAAAGACAAATTTAAAAAGCAGGCAACATATCCTAAGGGTGATTCAACATTATTCAAGTAGGAACATTGGAACCACCCAACTAGAAAATGCCGAAAAGTTGAAACTAAAAATACCACAAGCACAACAATAATGTCGTGCTGATACGACAAAGGCGTATACTGATAAAGGCGAATAAGGCGTATACTGATAAGGCGTGCTGATAAAGGCGAATACGTAAACTTGTCTCTGCTGCTAAAGGGCGCCAATATATTGATAATTTTGTTTCCCGGTTCCGGCTACTTTTGTACAATATATTGAAGAATTGGTTTCATACACAGTGATAACTTATATATTGCTACTTCGGTTCCATACATTAATTAATAATTTCATTTATTGTAAAAATGAATTAATATATTGATTATTCGGTTCAATATATAGATATCTGGTTCCATATTTGGCTGCTTTGGTTCCATATATAAATAATTGGTATCATATAATGTGATAACCAAGCTATATATTGCTACTTCAGTTCCATAGATTGATAAATTGGTTTGATATATTGAAAAATGAATTATATATTGATAATTCGGTTTCATATAAGGATATCTGATTCCACACATGGCTACTTTGGTACCAAATATTGAAGAACTGGAATCTTAATTCAGGAAATCAACATATATATTGCTACCTCGGTTTCATTCACTGACGGTATGGTTTCATATATTGTAACTGTGGATTAATATAATTGATTTCGGGTAAACAATAAGGTGTTTTCAATTCATATATAGTCGAGGTGAACTTATATAATTATTATCCAAATGGTAAAATAAATTGAAAAAGAACAATATAAGACAGCCATGGCTTTTTATATATAGGGTTATTAAATTTTTATTGTAGGGCTATTATAGCCGGTGGGCCATGTATTCGACGTTTAATAAATGCAATTTGTGGTCTTTTTTACTAAAAAAGTGTCGTCGTATGAGGATAAAGAAAGACATTTGCTTAGATCTAGAATTGTGGTTTCATGTTCTTAAGAATTTAATGGTATACCTGTATTTCATGACTCACGAAGATATTCAATTATATCTAGACAGTGATTGGGAGGGTGGGGTTGGGTGGGGGGGGGGAGCAAGACCTGTGTTTTGAGGCCACAAAGTGTTCCGCTAAGAGGCTTAGTCATGGCAATCACGTCAGATATAACAGTTTTAGAATTATTTCCTATATTGGTTGCGTAATATATTTTGAGCTCCGAATTTGTATAAAAAAATCAGATTAAATCGCGATAACATGGCAGTTCTTCTGATAATAAATAAGTTATCATCAAAATCAGAGCAGGTAATGTGTTTGGTCAGATGTCTAGCGTTAAGGTGTCTAAATCTAAACATTGTACTTAAAGGCAACTACGTCTCGGGCCGTTCTAATCGAATTTGCTTTCGTTTAACCAAATTAAAGGAATTAGAACCACAGGCAGATTAAAAAAAATCTGGAAACAAAGTGATCCCTTGGAAGCATTATTCACAACAAAATCACAACAGAATAGCAGACTTGGTTTGATTGAGTCTGTACATAAGAGATAATGAATACGTGCAACATCCCTCACGCCCCTTAGCACCGGCTTGAGCGGTACTCTATTCTCAACACTTAATAGTGCTGGCATCATTGATCCCGAAGGACCAGAAAAATACAACAACACTGTAGTGAAGTACGGGGCAACATTTTACAGCTGCCACACAGCACTTGACACCTGCAATCCTTGTTCGGTCTCGGTTTTCCTTTGGAATATCTCCAATCAAGAACTGGACAGCTTCTTTGCAGAAGGATTACAGCTAACATCAACTTAAGTAAACTTAAGGTCCTTGCTTAATTAAGAAATGTGTACAACACGGCAGAAGAATGGCCTTTTCCAAATCAGCACGTGATTTTAATTATGACCTTTTGTTTTGAAAAAGGACTTTCGCCAGAGGAAAATTTCCTGCCCACCACACAGCAAATGATTAATATTAATTACTACGGTTGTTAATTTATCCTTCGTTCACGACTTTGTTAGTTTTTTGCCAAACTTTTTTACTAATATGTTGGGTTGTTTTTTGCCAGATTTCTGTTGTTTTAAGTTTATTTTCAGGCTTTTGGCTTAATGTCCGATGAATGATGTGACCAACCGATGCAGTACATAATCAAAGGTCTTGAGCAAACAAGAAAATTCTGACAGTGGATAATTGTTTCTACACATGTACATGTATTATCTTATATGGACGATAAACATTCATATTTTTAATTGTTAACTATTTAAATCAGGGATGTTCCGGTCACGGTGTTTGATTTTTTTTGTTGGTAACATGAACTGAAAATGTGCAAGCAAGCTATTGGATAAAACCTAAATCCATTAGTACACGAATCTCGGAAAAACATTTTTTATCCCGTCATGTCAGGAAAAAAACCTCAGTGGAGCCCCTTTAACTTGTTGATTACGAAGACGAAAATATTGAACATATTATTAAAAGGTAGTCATGGGAACTTTCTGATAATTCATGATTATTATATTTCTAAAATTATTCTTGTATTCGCAGAAAGTATATTTGACTCATGTCGTATCAAACTTATTTCTCTCAAATTTAATTTTGACTTTGTTGAAAAAGTCAAGAAAAAGCATGGTGGCTTAGTCGAAAGGTTAACGCGTGGCGTCGGGCTAGTAATCTGAGGATTGCTGACCGCGTGGGTTCAACCCTGTCAGGGACAAGCCATTGTTTCATTAAGCAAGAAACTTTACATCAATTCCTTGATACTTCTTGGTTTCAGGAACGGATTCGAGTGTGTTTTAATAAACTCATAGCTTCCAATCGAACTAAAAGTAAAATTGTATAAACTTAAAAGCAATAATGAAAAATATATCTTACTCAATTCATCCATAGTGAAACAGAAAATTACGTTTACACGTAGTTAAACATCATAGGCATGCACATAAATTAGTAATGTATGGCTCATGTTAATATAAAATAGTAAATGAGTAATATTGTAGTTCATCTTATATCAGCATGTATTCACTATTCAAGATCAATTATGATTGATAAAGTCTGGCGCCTCCTCTTCATTAAATCTTGTAACGCTCTCTATCCAATCATAGAACATACCAACGTTTGTGTAAATACCGTAGTGTCTATCCACATCACATCCCCGGCCCCAGGAAACGACTCCAGTGAGAACCCATCTAGTGTTTGTTGACATGATTAAGCCGCCTCCAGAGTCCCAACTGCAACTGTCTCCAGTTTTACCAATCTTTAATTTGACAGAAATATAATTTCTCAAATATATATATAAGGGAAACACAGGCAGATGAATTACAAAAAAATATTATATTGATTTTACTTACTCAAATTGCGCTAACAATAAAAGGTTTTATTTTATTATTTCCAGTATGTTTTGAAATGTTATGTATTGTTTGCTTGTTAAATTGAATTTAAAAGCAAAAGGAATCACCAAATTATGTTTTAAGCAAAGTGCATTTAAAGAACCAGCCTCGGAAGTTACAATAATAAGTTTAAATGTGAAATAATTGTAGGTCTTTGACTTGATGGGTATTGTTTCGTTCCCGTATGTCACTGCGATATTGAGCGTTAAGTCTAAACTCTTCAAACCTGACCACGTTAAGCAACTTCAAAAGGAAAAAAAGCCTTCTTACATAGAACTGCTTAGTGTGTTCAGTTCGAGGACAGTATTAGAATATCTGATTGAAAATTCAGAAAGAAGAAATAAAAGTTTTCCTGTGTCTCTTTTAAGAAGATGGTTCATTATTTTGAATTAATGAATGTTTGCTATGGCAGCTAAATTTTGGTTAACATTGGAAAACATTAACGTTATTGTGCTTATATCTTATTCCTCCTTTTACAAAGAAATAGAAAATATCGGCAAATATTGGTTCATATACCAGATAAGAGCATTATTTTTATGTTTGTGTGTGGGTGTATTTTATCCGAGACGTTGAGTGATTTTAGAAATGCATATAATTAATTCTAAACATTACCAGGCTATCAGGTGCCCTATACAAACTGCACTCTGTTCAATATATTGTCTTACAATTCTCATTATACTTCAAAGCAAAAACGAAGGTCTCGACGTTAGAGTGTAATGAAACAAATTCTTGCAAATATATGATACTTACATTACTCCCAGCACAAAACATTGTGTCGGTTAGGTTATGGCGTTTGTCGCCAAAAGAGTCAAGACATGTTTTTCTGTCCACATACGGAATATATACATCCTATAATATCCAATAGGTAAATCTTATAAAATGCATTAAACCAAAAATATGACAAGAGGGCAATGATGGCACTGAGTCGCCCGCAAAAACAACTGCTTTTCAGTGTTGGAAATTATCCATTGTCAATATCTTCTCATATTAAATTTGAGTATAGAACATCTTTAAACTATTAGTTGAAGAAATGCCATGACCTTGGGCATTTAAGCTTAAGCATAATCGGGGCTAATAAAATAAATATTGATAACTAACTTGATAAAACTACCTAAACATGATACAGACAAAGTTTGGTGAACATCCATCAATTATTTTAGTAGGATATGATGGTCAAAGGTTTTTCATATTTTAGCTTTTAGGGGTTAATCAAATCAATATGAACAAACTTGATACACGACTATCTTAGAATGCTACAAACAAAATTTTGTGATCATCAATCCATTAGTTTTGTAGAAGAAGTCGTTAAAATGTATTTCTGTTTTTAGCTTTAATGGTCTCTAAAATAGGCCAATTAAATTAATTTGAGCAAACTTGATAAAAGACTACCTAAGAATGCTACAGACAAAGTTTGGTGATCATCAATCTATTAGTGTTGTAGAAGGAGATGTTTAAAGGTACTTCTATTTCTAGCTTTAGTGGTCCCTAAAAGGGGCCAATCAAATTAATATGAGCAAACCTGTTAAAAATGACTATTTAAGAATGCGTCAGACAAAGTTTGGTGATCATCTATCAATTATTTCCGTAGAAAATGATGTTCAAAGGGTTTTATCCCTCATGTACAGACTCAATCAAACCGAGTCTGCAATTCTTATGTTATTTTGTTGTGATTAATGCTTCCGAGGGATCACTTTGTTTCCAGAATTTTCTATTGTTAGCTTTAGCGGCCCCTTAAGGAGGCCAATCAAATTATTATGAGCAAACTTGATAAAATGCCACCTAAGAATGCTTCAGACCAAATTTGGTGATCATCCATCAATAAGTTCTGTAGAAGGAGACGTTTGAAGGTATTTCTATATTTAGCTTTAGAGGACCCTATAAGGGGCCAATCAAAATAATATAAGCATACATGATTAAAGAATACCTAAGAGTTCTACAGACAAAGTTTGGTGATCATCCATCAATTAATTCAAGAGAAAATGTTAAATGTTTTATTTTCTTTTTTAGCTTGAGCAGCCCCTTATAGCGGCTAATCCAATTAATATGATCAAACTTGATAAAAGACTACCCAAGAATGCTACAGACAAAATTTGGTGACCAAACAGAAATTAGTTCTGTAAAAGGAGATGTTTAAATGAATTTCGATTTTTATCTTTAGTAGCTACTAAAAGGGGTCACTCAAATTTAATGAGCAAACATGATAAAAGACTTCATAAGAGTGCTACAGACAAAGTTTGGTGATCATCCATCAATTTGTTTTGTAGAAGACGATATCTAAAGGTTTTTCTATTATTAGCTCAAGAGACCCCTATAAGAGACCAATCAAATTAATATGAGCAAACTTGATAAAAGACTACCCATGAATGCCAGAGACAAAGTTTGGTTATCATCAATCAATTAGTTCTTACCCTGAACCTTCGGTTCTGGAGGCTAAAAACAAGAGCAACAAGGAAGGGCATCGTTCAATGAACGCAACCCCAGCACCAAACATTGTGTCAGTGAGTCTATGGCGTTCGTTGCCCATTTATTCAAGGAATGTTTCTCTGTAACAGTTATAAAACTAATACTAATGAAAAACAAGACTTTAAAATTATAATCCTTTTGAAATTCAAATTCAAATATCAAAATATAAGTAATTCAAATCATCATTTGATATATTACTGTGAAATTGTTGATGTTTTTAAAATTACATTTTTAAATTGTCACATACACATAAGAATTGTGTTTCTATTATGGCTTTAGCTTCAGTTTTCTTTTTAATGTCAGGAACGGTTTTTGTTTTGGTATGAACGCATTTGTGCTAAGGCACTGGGAAAGTTGATTGCTTCGTTTCTGTATTCTATTGGTGTAATCCGAATTTCAAACCTTTCAGTTTTCATCTACTTTGAAATAGTTTTTGACATGTGCGGTACATAAATGTGCATTGAATAAAGTTTTTGCAATTTCTATACATTTATACAAATTTTTACGCGATTAAGTAAGGCTCTTTGTCACATAACCGTACCACTTTTTTGTAAAATCAATAACAGCACAGCACCATGTATACGATATACACGAATGAGCCATACATAAAATAAATGACCATGACGTTATTTTGTATTGGTATAATATTAATTCAATGTAATAATAATATTTTGGTTAAAAAGAACCTAAAAGATTGTTACGTATAGCTAGATTTGCTGAAACTATTAAAATGCATAATATTCACAACGAATGTATTTTTAATGTTTCTGATAAGGTTACGTCCGGTATTTTGATCCCTTAAATCTCGATTTTATATAACTCATCCTTTAATCACAAATGTTTTTAAATTTAACACAAAGTAACAGCATTAAAAAAATTACAGTGTTTACATTTATAAACCACTTATTTAACAAATTATTGTAAGGATCACTAAACATGTTCTACTGATATAAATGATTAAAAAATGTAAATAAAATCTAGTTAAAATATCACATACCAGTGTTTAACAAAGCGAAATAAAAGATTATTTACTATCTTTGAATCTTAGTATTCATATCATAAATAACTACCCTCAGTCTCTGGGGCATCGATCTGCCATTAGATCTTGTAGCACCGCAGCCAGCGACTTTCCCAAACACACGACCAAAAGAGCCACTGTTTTCTAGAAACACCCTGTCATTGTAATCCGCCGGTTCAACACATATAGGACGTATATTATCGCTGTATTCAACCAAACTGTCCAATTCTATCAATGCTATATCATTATCATAATATCCTCTTTCTCCATAATCTGGATGAACATTAAAGCTCCGTACTTTTCTTCTTATCCCATCATTCTGAGTCCCTAGACAGTCTGTGGTACCTGAATTAATTCAGAAAAAGAAGAAATTTAGATAATCTTATCAAAATAATTAAATAGCTTATTTCTTTTGTTTTTTTAACTAAAATTTAAACGATCGGAATTATTGACGTTAACAGACGATAATTGTTTTTGGAAAGTATAGGTTTGAAATGGGATTCCAGTACATAAATCTGAAACAAATTCATTATGGGATTAAAATATTTTATTGTGTTATTGCCTCAAATAGTTGCTATATTTTTATATGATTGCTGTAAACTATGCATTGTCGAAAGATTAGATGAAATACGAACGAGACGGTTATCGTGTTACAAAGTTGCTCACCAATACACAATAATTACTTAACAAGTCATAATTTCCACTATGAAATTAAAATCACTTATAAGACAGAGAAAGAACAATATCCCTAAAGAACGCATAAAACGCTAATACATACGGCCAGTTCATGGACAGTACTGGACAGTTGAAGTTACCAGAAAGTAGACGAGAACATCACGCTTGGCGAGTTTTTTTCCCTAATTGTCGATATAGAGCAGCCATCTTGGATATCGATTTTGGGAGCAGTCAATTTTCGAGAGGATATGTTTATCTGGAGATGTCATTTTTTATGATAAGTCATACTTTGCTTAACAATTGCTTTACATGACCAATCCTTTAGCTTTTTTAATCTCAGACCACTATAGTATATGATATGCAAAACAATGAAGTTGAAGTAGTAATAAAAGACAACAAGCAATAATACATTATTCATATTTTATTATCATAAAACTGACAATTTAATAACAGTATTGATACAATAACTTTTCAATAGCCATATGTAAAAGACAGACAACTATCTCTCACTCTCTTATCAAATACAATCCTATACAGTTTGTTTGGTTCAGTGTTAAAAGTTGATCACGGTCTCTACATATTTTATGGTAATCTGTTAGAGTTAGTATTTCATTTGAAGGGCTTCTAACCATATCTTTGATAGTTCCAGAGTTTATTGTATTTTTTTAAGTTAAGGTGATATCCTTCACCTTGCAATGATTTATATTACCATCTGGATCTTTTAATTTGTAGGCATAACTTGGGCCACTTGTCACAAATGTTTCGATTTGATTTCCAGGTATTTCGTCAGTAAGATCGCCAAAATAATCAGCTAGGGAGGACACCCAGTCTCCAGGTTTTGAGGAAAATACGACAGAATCAGTATCCGCATACAATGCACGCGTACCTAAATTTTATACTTAAAGGTATGATTTGAGTCTCGCTTGAGCTGTTGTGTAAGCAGCTGTGTCTACATTTGTTTTCCCTGAAGGATCTACTATTTCACCCCTGTATTTCCAACGTACTTCTAGCATTTCATTAGACACAAAGCTTACTGCTGTTACTTCTTCTCTGTCGCTTGTCGGTTTTTTAAAATAACAGACAGGATCATCGGTAAATTTTACTTGATTTTTCTTAAGTCTTTGACAAATTTTTTCCCAGAACGAATTGAGCATTAATTAAGCAAAGGTCCGCATTCCCGGATTTTTTTCTATGTTATGACAGTCGAGTTGTATCCCTTCTTTTTCATAATACTGTTGAATGTATAATATTATATTCTTTTGTTCTTCAGTGATACACCATTTTCGTCAACCACTTTTTTCTTGTTTGATTTTAATCTTTATTAATGGCCTTTATAACTTCATCTGTGACGTAAGTACCTATAAAATATCTTTCTTCGTTCGTATGCAGACATTTTGTCTGTTTGTGAGTTTCAGCACATGTTTTACACAAAGAAAATAGTAATTTTATGTTCATTTTACATGGCAGCACAAGTATAAGTATAAATAAGTCTCGTGGGGAATAACTTTGCATTTGATTAACCCCTCGTATTGTATTTATCAATTTCGGCAAAATTTTCTGAAATAATGTTAGGGTGACCTAAAGGAATTTTTCCTGTCTTATTGATCACTGGATAAAGGGATGAAACATCATAAAATTATTGTATATTTTCTTCATCATTGGCTTCTTTGTAAAGGGTGAATGTTTTTGTTCGACCCCCGAAAAAAGCCTTTCTAGGTTGTAAGGGAGTTGCGATATCAAGTTGTTCTATAAAAGTCCTCATCTCATTGTTTCCTTTTAATTCTCTCTCAAACTGAGATTCCCTGATAGATACATACGTATAACAATGCTCTTCTTTATATATCTTTTTAGTCAAGTATTTTGATAAAGCTCACCAATGGTAAATTTACTGACAGGATTCATTGTATTACTTGAATATTGGTTAGGATTCCAATGCCAAAAGTCACAATGACATTCAAGTATAACCTTTTGGTCTTTTGTTTTATAATAAACATCAACCTTGTAAGGACCAATGGCTATCTCACCCCCGTTCCTCGCATGTTGTATACGGATACCGAGACTATGTGACATGTATTTAACCCATTGTTATGCCTTCACAGATTGAATCTGTTCGGGATTATATCCATGTGTGGGAAATATACCAATAGTATTTTCTTGCAGAAAATTTGTTCTGAAAACAGTTTGACAAGCGTAAGCATGGTGATGTTCTTTCTAAAAGGATCAAAACGGCAATTTGTAGGAAGTCTGTCCTAAACTTCAGACAACATCGTCTTAGAATATCAAAATCAGACCGGGAATATTTTAATGTTTCATTTTGAAAATCAAAACGGTGTGTTCTCGTTGTGTTGATTTCATACCGCTCCAATGGCCCTAGAAAACAGGTTTGTCAGGGTTGTAGTAGTTATGTCTGGTAAATGGTCTAAGAAAATGGTTTCATTTTCACTACTGTTGGAAAGATGGGGGAAGTAACCCTTACTTAATTCAGAAAATCCAAACATTGCTGGAAATTTTGAAAAGGCCATTGGCAAGAAATTGATGGAATCAATCATTTTAACTTTGCAAACAGGAACTATCAAGGACGTGATCATGGCACCATTAGGTATCAATGTAGGAACGATAGCATTTCTGTACAAATATTGCAAAATTGGATAAGAATCGTAACCTTGAGAGTTTTGGAATATAACGGTTGCGTTCTTATTTTCTTCAGAATATAGCCAACTACAAAATTGATCTATGATATCAAGGCCTGAAAATACCATTTCATTCTTTCCACACATCTCCCATTCGCTTTTCTCACTCAACTCTCCACCCATACACAAAGTTCATATTTTATGAGCCACACATAGATTTGGTATATGTTCAAAGGTACCGCATTTTGACTTTTGACAATGTATACATATCCCTTTTCACCTCTTTTATACCCTCTCTTGCATTGAACAATATCTTGTTGTCTGCATTCTAGATAAAATTATGAAAGTATCTATATTTTCTTTATTATCATTTTTATCAGAAAGCTCATTTATTCTCGGGTTTCATTTAACAATTGTGTCTTTCTTCGAAGAAGTCTTTACATATTTCACAATATTTTGAACCGCAAACATGAGGCGTTTTACTCATTTGCTTGTTAACTGTTTTTTTCCACAACCAACGCATCTATATTATGTACGACACGTAGAATTACCATTGACTGTAACTTTTTGAGGAAGTTCTAAGCATATCTTTCCGCGGAAAAACCGATTACATATATTACAATGGAGCCATTTTTCGTCGCTTGGGGTATGCACTTTCTTACACGAATGACATACATTATTACACGGATGCTTTTTTATGTGATCGTAACCTTTCTGACACATCGTACAGAAATAGTTTTTGCTGAAAAATGCTGGCATAATAGTGATTATGTCATAATGATGGTCATTTTGATATAGGAATATTTTCTTGTCTGTCTCTGGTCCTTCGTATAAAATACTGCTGAAATGGTGAGCTGACGCGACGTAGATCTGGTATCCATCCAAAAACTCTTGAAACTTCTTGATTTCTGTAATACCACAAGGTCCAAGTGGTACATCTGCTTGTTTGTGTAACTCCTCAGCCATTTCCCACCTTATGGAACAACCCTGTCTGATACTGTTCCACTTTTCATGTTGTCTAAGTTTTGCTTTTGCCGTTACAATAGCTCTTGCAAAGCATAAGTTGTCGTCATTCTAAATACGGATAAAGCATTGTTTTTCTTTCAATGTCTTCGCTAGGTCCACATAAAGACATCTTTTTCTAGCTCCTCCAGTAGGCATATGTGTCACTTCAAAAATAAGAGATTTATTTATGGTGAAATCTTCATTTGACTGTAGAAGACGTTTTATTTAAGACATAAAACGCTCTGAGGTAAGATCTGGTAACCGCATAAACGGTATAATGATGAGGTAATCCAATGAAGGACTTTATATCACCATTCTTATTAAATTTTCTGATTTATCATCTGCAGTCATTTCATCAAAAATGGCTGTAAATAGTTGATTGAGTGTAGCCATTACATTTTCTGTCACCTCTAAATTTTCAAAATTCACTTTGTAAGTGAGGATATTGTTTTAAATTTCTCGGTGCGCTGTTAATTGATTTTGTAATAGTGTAAAAATCTCTCGGGTCATCGTTCCTCTTCATGAGCTGTGGAGGCATGTAATCATTGGCCGCTTGTCTCTTAAGTCATACACCTATATGATGCTTTTGAAGTTTGTGTCTATTTAGGTTGAACTGGCGACTGAATGCCTGTCCAGATTCATTACATTGTAAAGTGTTGGTTGTCAAATGCTTCTTTTAATGTTCAACGAGGTTGTTTCGTCGATTAAACACTTCACAGCATATGTCTAAGCTGAATTTCTCCAAATGGTTTTCGCTCTTTCTCTGTTGAAGTAACTGACTCAACTTTTGAAACATAATCCCACTTGCGTTACAATTGTAATCCATGACTGTCCTCTCTGAAGTATATGGTCTGAATCAAAATAACGTATATCACACCCTTTCTTATGTATTTTAAGACTTTCTGCTTAATCCTGCTTGGTCTAGTTTTTTAAGACCTCTTATATGTCTATAATATCTTTATTCAGTGTATGATTACATCTGTTTTCTCTAACTTCCGGAATCCGAATGTGAATATAGTATATTACGCTCTTTCT